CTGTATCTTCCGTTTGCAAGACGGATAGCATTTAAACTGCAATTAAAGTCTTTAGTAAGAATTTTTGCAATCTTTGCGGTGGCAGAATTAGTATTAATGCCATCGCAGAAAGTCTGCCATGAGCGACGTTTAGATGCTCTGATCGCCTTGTTATAAGCAGTTAGAGCGTTTCTGTAGGACTGCCATTCACCAGATTTCTTTGCTCTGTTAAATAACTTCCTACATTTCTTACGTAATTTACTAAGCTCAGAAGACCACCAAGGAACTCTCCTTGGGGAGCTAGTAGACGTAACCTGACAAGAAATATGATATGAATCGAGTATGATCTGTTGCACTTGGTCAACAGTCCACTCCACATCATTAACATTATTGTACTTACCAGAGAAGCTCCCCATCTTCCTCTCCAGAGCTGCTCTAAAGGAACCCCAATCAGCTGTTCTGGGGTTCCTCCTTACGACCTTCAGTCCTGAGAGGCCTTTAATAGAGAAAGTAATTAGTTGGTGATCTGAGGCAGTGACGGCCCCAGATACCTTCCAATCATTAACGTAATCTACTGTTTTAGAGTTACATAAAGTAAGGTCAATGACTTCCCTTCTGTTACACGTAACAAAGGTAGGTTCATTGCCTTTATTAAGGACATACAAATTAAAATTTAAAATATGTTCCATGAGTACATCCCCCCGCTGGTTACAATCACTGCTACCCCACACTGTGTGGTGAGCATTTGCATCACAGCCAAAGATGAATCTACAGCTTGAACTACAGTGGGCAATTAGGGCCCTAGTAATGTCAGCTAATGGATCCTTCTCCTCATAGGGGAGATAGGCTGAGACTATGACAAAATCAGAGATTGACTTATTATCATAGAATTTTAGCTTTACTTTGATCTTGGCTACTAATCACGGCGATGAATCTTTGAAAGAAAAAATATTGGAATATATAATGACCAATGTTAAAGAAATTATGGCTACAAAATCATTTGAAGAGTTGGCCAAATACGATGCAAATCTTGTTGTGTTACTGATGCGTAACGCTTTCTTAAAATGATAGTGTATGAAGTTGCAGATTTAAGTTAATATCGAGAATTTTGATTTCGTCTTTTTTCATTATTTTATATCGAAGAAATAAATTTTGAAATTGCTAAAAAGTATTTAATTATAAGACTATTTTAGTGAATGAAACCACATAAATAATATTTCTTAGACGTCTGGGATTGATAGGAAAATTACATTTGAAGTTGATGAGGTATGGAGTTTTAAATAATGTAAAATATATTTATAAATAATTTATAAATGAATAATTAATAAATAAATAGCAAATAAACGCATAAAAAATTCTATTCTCATTTCCATTTTAACATTTGCGTTGAGAATTACTTTTTTTAAATTAAATTCTGAGCAAAAAATTGTCACAAAGTTAATATATTTTGCTATTTTTTTCTGAGAAATCTTTTAAAGCAATTGTAACGCTGCATACAACTGCATACACTGGTGTAAGAAATTAAGAGAATTTGCAGATTTGGTTCATTATCTTAGGTGATCAGACTTGGTTGAACTACTGGACCGATTTTAATGCAATTTGATCTATACATACATTGATACAATACAAAACAAATAACCATTCAACAATTGTAATACACACGCATGATCGTGCGTAACACTCGTTGGAGTCGGAAGGCATGAAACAGCGGATGCAGAAAAAAATAGTTTAAAAGGGGGTATGGTCACTTCTTCCAGTTATGCAGTACTTGCAGCGTGATTTCATACTTGAAATAAAGCAGTTTTTCATTTCCAGTGGCAATTTCATACCTTCCGACTCCAACGACGGTTACGCATGCTCATGCGCATGTATTGCAATTGTTGAATGGTTATTTGTTTTATATTGGATCAATGTATGTGCATATCAAATTTCATTAAAATCGGTCCAGTAGTTCTGGAGATAATCAACCGAGTCTGCAAATTCTCTTAATTTCTTACACCAGTGTGTTAGAAAAAAAAATGTAAATAAAAGATATCTCAGAAAAAAATTGTAAAATATATTTAATTTGTGACAATTTTTGCTCAAATTTTAATTTACTTTGATTTTTATAAACACTAGATGAGTCCATCAACAGTCAATGTGGTTGCTAAGTCCTCATTTGACGTTCGTTAATTTGCTTAATAATAGCTTGCATAAAGCATAACCCTTATGGAGCTGTTCCTTACTATATCTAATTTTATGGGCATCTGCTTCGGTTACATAGACATCGACATAATTTTAATTTCTTTTTTGTCAGCTTATTATCTTATGCTATACGGAAAGTTCTTAGTACTAGTGGGCTGCGCCCCCTGCTCGCCAGCTCTCGCCAACCCCCGAAAATTGCTACGCAATTTTATATGGTTTGCTTCGCAAACCAAGCTCACTTCGCTCGCTGATTGCAAATGTGCAAAATACTAAGAATTCAAAACAATCATTCAAATCCATATAACAGCTTTTTTTTAAAAAAAAAATTTACATCTTTTTAGTAAATACTAAGTCATTAAAATAAATTTGAATTCAGATAAATGACATATAATTCGTTAAACCTATTAGAAATGTGCTATAGTATAAAATCTTAAGATAAAATTTCTAAAACTGATATCTCTTTAAAAAAGTTAAAATTTTGGCTATAATTAAGTCTATTAAAAATTGAAATAAGTGAATTGCAATGGAGAAACCTGCATAAACAAACAAATTCTAGTAAAGCAAATAAATTCGTGATATAAATCAAAGATCGTCTAATAAATTTGCAATACATAAATTCGTGAAAAAAGCGCTTTCGACAAAATACTAAAATAGAGATCTATCGACAAAGACTACTCACTTCTGCCTAGCTTATGCTCGCTCTGGTTATTTAAGTTTCTGTTTTTAAAAGCGCTATATGTTGAGTCATCTCAGCTAAATTTGGCATGTGACATTTTTAGCGGCAATCATTGGTCGATTTTCTAGCGTTGCCATTCGGGGAGTTGTAATGAGGCTTTTTTTGTCGCCGTGTACGAGAAATATATGGGTCATTCTCCCAAAAACAGTCATTTTCATGTCCCCAGTATATTTTATGTTTGTTTTACAGCTTACGAAGAAAAAAAATTCAGGGAAAGTGTCCTTCAGAATGCAAGCTAACAAAAGAATAAAAATAAAATTATCAATTTTTATTTTTTATTTATTTTAGGTAATTAAAATATACCAATATGTCATTCCCTCACTTGTCCCCACTGCTGATTTAAAAAAAGAAAAAAATTGTTTCTGAAATAAAATTTTTTTTTTTACAAATTCGTGTTTTTTATTTCAGAATACTGAAATATAGAATTCAGAAAATCAATTTTAAATTTAATTTCTGATAAAAATATTAACACAGCACTATTTTAAACTTTGTCCCCAGTGTTTCGCGTCATTCCCTCACAACAATGTTCTTATCACCTGCAATCTTCTTAGAAT